ACTTTTGCTTCCTAACCTTCAAGCATTGGTTGCCTAAAATATATTGACAGGTTGTCAATTGTAAAGATGAGATAGCTCAATACTATCTAATGGACTGCATAATTCAAGTATTCCCTGATGAATACCACTTGCAAACTCTTGATGTATTGTTGGGTGCTTTCCCACAACTTCAGGTGTGTCACGAATAGGTGCTTCTTTATTGTTGTTAGTTCCTAGAACTTCCTCGTCATTTGCATAATCTACATATTTGTTTTTATTCTCCACTTAATATTTTATTCTCCACTTAATATTTATGGTATAAAGCAGCAACTTATGCACTCCCTATAAGTTCTGAACTCTTTTTTTACTTTTTTTTTTCAGCCAACTGTTGACATTAAAACTGTGCTATCTCGATTGATGGAAAGGCTATCAAATTATGCTGCTTCAAGTGCAGATGTGTTGCCTGAGTTCTTGCAAGTAGAAGCCTTTGCAAAGTTGAATAATGCCATTGGGAAGGTATATTTTGTTTACAGAGAGAATTTTTCTTAGCTTAATCTAGACTAATGTTCTAAATAGTTGGTCTTATTCTATCCTATAATGCAGGTGATTGAAGCACAGCCTGATATGCCTATCCTTGGTGTGATAATTTTATATTCGTCTCTTCTTACATTTACTCTCCACGTCCATCCTGACCGACTGGATTATGCTGATCAAGTTTTGGTAAGCTACTGTCTTAAAACTGTATCATGCATATTCACATAAGATTTAAGATTTTATTGCTCAAAAACCAAGATTCGTACACTTAATCAATTATGTTTTGCTCTCTTCCCAAATATTAAATTATTAAGGTATGTCCATGCAATTGAAGTTCATGTAGTAGTGCACTGCTTACCATCTTTATTTGTGTTATAAAGAGAAGGCTATTTGATCATTTGTTCCTACTGCCATTTGTTTTCACAGAAAATTGAAATCAACAAAGAGGTAACTTGACTTTGTTATTGTTCAGGGAGCATGTGTTAAAAAACTCTCTGGCAAAGGAAAGCTTGAAGGCAACAAAACAACAAAACAGATTGTTGCACTCTTGAGTGCTCCACTTGACAAATATGACATTGTCACAGCATTGAAGCTTTCAAATTATCCTCGTGTCTTAGAATACCTTGACACTGAAACAAATAAAGTCATGGCAACTGTGATAATTCAAAGCATTATGAAGAACAAAACTCGTATCTCCACTGCTGACAGGGTATGTTTGTAATTATGTTCTTTACCACTTCAAACTTGCTTTTTAGTTGAACAGGTTTCTTGATCATGTTACTTTTTGTGACAGGTTGAGGCATTGTTTGAATTGATAAAAGGTCTTATTAAGGATCTGGATGGTGCTGTTCTTGATGAGGTTGTTATGATTTTGTTTATCTTCATATTTATGTTCATCAATATGCATGACAATTGTTCAATCTCACATTTAGGTTGATGAAGATGATTTCAAGGAGGAACAGAATTCTGTAGCACGTCTTATTCAGTTGTTGCATAATGATGACCCTGAAGAGATGTTTAAGGTACTTGATAGGGTGAAAGAATTTGTTTCCATAGCAATCTTGACGTTGTCAAGATTAGTTATTAATATTGTTCAAGTGCATCTACTGGGGTTTTCTCATGTACTTTTCTATGTGTGCTATCAATTTGATAATTTGCAGATAATATGCACGGTCAGGAAGCATATCTTGGGTGGAGGACCAAAACGCCTACCCTTCACTGTCCCTTCCCTTGTTTTCTCTTCACTTAAGGTTCATTTCTATTTTGTCTGTTTGAATATAGAATGCTATAACATTAAAAGTGAAGACTAAACAAATATTCTGGTTGATATCGAAGCAGATAATGGCTCGTGTATTTGAAATAAGATAAAGAATTTGTCTAATGAAACGGATCTTGTACAAAGATTAAAAATCTGGAATTAGAAATATTAAATGGAAATTCTATCTATAACTATTTTTCAATTGCAAATATACCTTGCAGTTTCTATCTCTAAATCTGAACTGCTAAAAATGGAAAACTATTTCCTCTTCCCCCTTTCTACTTTTTCCATTTCTGTAGCCTGGGCTGCAGTTAACCTGAATGTTTTTTTATTCTTTGCACGTTTATGATTCTTTCTTTTGCTGAAATTGACCATAAATTTTTTGCTTCTTAGTTGGTTCGGCAACTACAAGGCCAAGAGGAAAATCCTTTTGGAGAGGAGGAATCAACCACGCCCAAGAAAATATTCCAACTTTTGAATCAGGTCAGTCATCTTCTTCAGAACTGTGTTCAGGCACACTGCCTGCTTGGGTTTGGCTATACTTATATGATTTGTTTTGAAGCATGAGTAGACTATAATTTCCGATCATGGTGCATTTAGATTTTAATTTGTGATGGGGAAAAAAGCTTTTTTTGAATGCATATTTGAATTATCCCTTGTCTATTCAATTCTATCTGAATTTACACAGCACATTTTTAGCATATTTGATAGTGTTGATAACTTCTGTTTTCAGACTGTTGAAACTCTCTCTAACATTCCGGCCCCTGAGCTGGCACTACAGTTGTATCTGCAGTGTGCTGAGGTATGATATTTTTGGACCTCATATACATTTAGAAATAAAAAATTAGATAATAAAAAATTCTAATAATATTTACGATGGATTCTTATTGATCAGGCTGCCAATGACTGTGATTTAGAACCTGTGGCATATGAATTTTTCACACAAGCATACATTTTATATGAAGAAGAGATTTCAGTAAGTTGGTTGCAATCTGGGTTAATATGCCTCATTATGGAGTATCTTCAACTTACATGATTATTACTGATAAAACATGGGAATTACTAGTTGATTTTTTGCTAATATTTGCTCTTGTAGGACTCAAGGGCGCAGGTTACTGCAATACATTTGATAATTGGAACTCTGCAAAGGATGCATGTCTTTGGTGTTGAAAATAGGGATACTTTAACTCACAAGGCTACAGGGGTAATCTTTCTATTATGTCAGTTGCCTAGAGAGCGGCGTAGCATCTTTAATCTGTACTTGACTTGAGCCCCCTTGTATTTGAGCAGTATTCTGCAAAACTGTTGAAGAAACCTGATCAGTGCAGAGCTGTTTATGCGTGCTCACATCTCTTCTGGGTTGATGATCAGGACAATGTGAAAGATGGAGAAAGGTAAGGTTGACCTTTATGTTTGTAATTTCATGCCTACATTGTGTTATGTGCATGTGCATCCCATCAGGTGCTTTTATTGAATCTGGATGAGGTCTTATTGATCTTCCTCTTCTCTTTGCTTTTAAATAGGGTCTTGCTTTGTCTTAAGCGGGCACTGAGAATTGCAAATGCTGCTCAACAAACGTCCAATGCAGCACGGGGTAACACCGGATCAGTCACTCTCTTTGTTGAGATACTGAACAAGTACATCCTGCATACCCGTATTGCAAAGAACTTATGTTTGGTTTGTTGAAATATTGTCCTTATTGTTGATGATGGGAATTCGAACCTTGTTGTGCTGGTAGGTACCTTTATTTCTTTGAGAAGGGGAACCCCCATATCAATGTTGCTGCAATCCAGAGTCTGGTTGAATTGGTAACAACTGAGATGCATAGTGAAACTAGCGCGCTGGATCCAGCAGCGAATGCTTTCTTTGCCAGCACGCTCAGGTATATAGAGTTTCAAAAACAGAAAGGTGGAGCTGTAGGTGAAAAATATGAGCCTATCAAGGCATGACTGCGAGAGCTCCCGTGACTTCTTTTTCCTTAAAAAAATGTAGACTTTTGATTTGTTTTGTGCAAAAAAGGGAACTGGATTTATAGTATATGCCCCATTGGCCTGGTGCCAAACTTCAACAATTTCTTGCATCATATCAGGGTTTGGTGCAAAGTAAGAAATGCGGAAGTTTTTTTCACTCGACTGTTGTTATCTACACTTTAGATATTAAAAAGTTGTTTTTTAAATTGTTGATGGTTCGTTAATAAACTATTATGAAGCGTAGTTGATTCATCAATATTACCTGGTTAATTATTGCTAGTGTTCTTAATCGGGAACACACACACTACTTTGAAAATAGCAAAATCCCTGGTATTTACGTATTAGAGATATTAACGGATAAGTTGCAAAGAAAATCCAAGATTTGTACCTATGCATATACACACGAATTAGGGATGAAGTTAAGATCAAATATTGAGACGTTAAGGAAAATCAAATATTGAGATGAACATAAATCTATGAAGTATTTTAACTTAGAAAAATTATAATAGATAAATATCTTATTTAATTAATATTTGAATCAACAAGAACTTAAAGTATTCTTTTACCAAATAATTTATAAGGCCAATCTCACCCAACAAATAGGGACGAGCCATACCATTTTTTGTATGGAAGGTGCAACAGCCGTTCCTAAATATTTTGGTATGATAGCACTTTAGATTTTTTTTAATTTAAATATTAAACAGATAAAGTAGTTGTCCTTCTCAATTATTTCATTTAAATATTTAGTAGATCATTACTTAACCCCGTTTTTGTCAACAAATAGCTCCGTCTCCGACGTCAATGTATTTTTAGTGTTAAGGTTTGAAAAGAAATATATAAAATATGTTTGCTGTAAGCGAAGAAGATGTTGAAAACGGGGAGATCTTTATCAATTGGTCATGTCAACCTGTTATTGTCAACACTCAACACCAGCTAGCCTCCAGAAGAAAACACACCGACCAAAGTCGAAACCATGTGATGCAAGCAATCAGGATGCATGGGCAATTACGTGGGAAATAAGGCTTTTTAGTGATTCACAGAAGTTGTGTCAAGTGTCGAAGCCTTTTTCTCTCTCTTATTATCTTCAAGTGAAACATCGTAGAAACAAATCCAATGACGTGATGTTGTAAAACGGAAACATCAAAGAAGTTTCTCGAATTTTGGAACTTTCTACTTTTTTCTTTAGTATACCATGAAAGTTCCTCAGATGTTATCCTAATATCGCATTATAAACGGTTTCCACTAAGCAGAAGCCTAATCATGCAAAGAGTAAACAACATGATGGAGATCGAGGAAGTGAACAACCATAAGGCACTGCCACTTCTTTCATTGAATCACGTCTCGTTGTTGTGTCGATTGGTTAGCGATTCCGTTCGGTTCTACGAACATGTATTGGGCTTTGTTCCGATCAAACGTCCTTCTTTCAAGTTCAACGGAGCTTGGTGAGCTTAAAACTCTCCAAACCCCTTCTTCGTCATACTTAAACAAGATACCAAGTAGCTGATCGTCTGCCTGATCTAGTGCAGGTTGTCTAATTATGGCATCGGGATACACTTGATCGAGAATCCATCGATCGACGATCTCGACACTATCGTTGAACCCCGGCTGATTAACCCCAAGGATAATCACATATCCTTCCAGGTACAATCATATATTTCATTTTCCTTGGAGTATTCATATCCTACACCTACATCCAACACATATCCGAACATTGAAACGGTTTGCGACGACAGTTTACAGATGTGGGGCTTGTAAAGAGGAGGCTGGAAGACATGGGGATGAAGTATGTGACGGCAGTGGTGGAAGATGAAGTGAACAGGGTTGATCAAGTGTTCTTCCATGATCCAGATGGGTACATGATTGAGCTCTGCAACTACGAGAACATCCCGATTCTTCCTCTCGCTTCTTGCTCGTTGCTAAGCAGTTTCAACAAGGCTGCCCCGGCTAGTTGCGGATTCATGGAAAACGTAATGATGGAGAGCTTGAGCATGGAGATGCTCAACATTTCCTTTTGAGTTCATGTGTGCTGCAAATGAAGAAAAAAGTGTATCGATATGTTTTTGAGATTAAGTTGTACTCTTTGTCTAATACCTTGTAAGCCTAGACGAGGCTTCTCAGAGATCAAAAGGAGGAAACAATGATCTATAAATCAATTAAAATACTCCATTCCGTTAGAGTTTGTTTAAATTTGAACTTACCATATGATATCTACAAGAATTCAAGTAACACGTTATTTATCATTCAATCGATGGCTAATAAATAAATTATATTATCTTTGTTTTATTAAAATAATTATCATCAAAATTAAAAAATGTAATTAAGTCAATAAAAGAAATTATTATGTTTTTACAATTTAAAAATATGTCTTATTTTAGATGTTTATATTTTAAGATAATTATTTTAAATAGTCTAAACTGATTTATAAGGTAATATAAAAAGTATTTTAAAATAAAAAATTAACTTACAAACAGTTTTGTATTATCATAAAATATTTTAAAATCATTTAATCTTAATCAAATGCCGAAAAGAAATAACATAAACAAACACAGCTTAAAAGGCGGGAAAGGGAAAAAGGAATTGGAGAAGAGTGTGGGACAGGAACTTTTGGGTGTAGTTACTGTAGCGCCGACTAACCACGTGGCTGTGAAGGGGTGCAAAATATTAGAGAATCAAACACTCAACCCCATCAACGCCCATATCAATGAGCTGTGTTTGGCGCTCTCCTTCCTCCTCCTCCTCCTCTTATTTCAAACTTTGAGCTACCAAACCCAATCATCTTTCAATCTTTGAAAGGCTACTTTTCCTTTGAAACAAAGCTAATTAAACCATTATTCTTTATTACCAAATAGTTCCTTCCCACAAACCTTCCCTAATTCATTTCCATGTGCCCCAACTGTTCACAGCTCCACCATCTCTCAACCCCAATCCCCAATTCAATCTCTCTAGGGTTCATGTTCTTTCGTTGACCTTATAGAATATATTTTATCAAAGAAGAAGACTTGTTAGTGGAAAATCATATACTATTATAGTAGTTTTTAATTTATTATTTTTCATTTTTGTTGACTGAAAAAGATTGTCAACAAGTTGAATCTACCACGACTCTCTATAAGCCATGTTCACTGGTGATGTTGCTAGCAGTGGTAATAGTTTGAGTCGTGATTATTAAAGGTAAGTTCATCAATCGAAGATCGGAAGAATACGGACATGGATGATCTCGGAAACGATGACGTGGTGGTTCAAGGAGATGGTGGTGTTGTCGTGGAGAAGGTGGCTGAGGTTGGAGTCAAAGCTGTCGAGATGACGAGCACGGGGAAACGGAGGCGGGGAAGGCCACGGAGGAATCAGGCGAGGATCATGTCATCATCGGCGCCACCACCTAACGCGGACGATGGAGAAGACGTTTGCTTTATATGCTTCGACGGAGGAAGTCTGGTGCTTTGTGATCGCAGGTGAGAATCGAAATTTCTCTTTTATGTAGCTGATTCGTGATCTTAGCAGGAGTTAAATCAAAATTTCAAAATCTCCTTATATGTTATATAAATGTAATACTTAAATAAAATTAAACTGAAATTGTGACAAGTCCAATGTTTTTACTAAATTTATTAAATTGAAATTGTCAAACTCAAGTCCAGTTATTTTTACTAAATTTACCATTCAAATTTCAAAGCAATTAAAAGATATTTCTATAAATAATTTATTGGTGACTATTTTATTAAATAAACAAAAGAACACATATTGGAGACTGTTTTATAATTAAAGCTGTAAGGCAATTTCTAGTTGATTTTTCTATTTACTTGCTCTTTTTTCAATTGTTCCAACATTTGGTTCTAATAGTTAAATTTGTTCTGAAATTAGAAGTAGTTTTACCTGTAAATTTTGCACCTTTATCTCATTGGAATCACTTTATAAAAGATTAGAGAAACAACAGAACTTTTGATTTTAAAGTTTCAACTTCATTCTTATTCCTTTATTTATGTTTCAATACAAATGATTGTATTTTCTAACAATTGATCTTTTTATACTTTTTATTTCAATATTAAAATGCCACGAATCAAGAAAGTTAACAGAATTCATTGAAGGGTTGTGTAATTACTAATTAGTTTTTCTATCATGGTACATTTGGTCTGAAAACCTTGTTACTCTTAAAATTTTAATGTTGTTATGGTGATATATTTATTTTACTTTGTGAACTTTACCTTTTGCTCCTATATAGTTTTACATACATGCATATACATATGGATGAATATAATATGATTTTATGAACCAAGGGATCTCCATGAATGCTTTTTTACTTTCCGTTCCCGTATAGTTTTGCGATTCTAGTGTTTACTTGGTTAATCATATGGGATTTCATGTATCAGGGGCTGTCCTAAGGCATACCATCCGGCCTGTATCAAAAGAGATGAGGAATTCTTTAAATCAACGGCAAAATGGAATTGTGGTATGTTGCATTTCAGTTAGCTCTTGTACATGTTTGTCACGTTATTTCAGTTTTCTTAACATGTGTTACAGGACTATTGAAGCTTGTCATATTTTAATCCAGATTCATGCTCTTCTTTACTTGCTTCACGGTTAACTGTTGTTCTTACTGTTCACATGTTTGTCAAATGGTAGCTTTCCATGTCTCGCATTTTGGGTTCTTTGTTCTCTATTGATTATTGGATTATTTATCTCATTTAAGACATTATATCACACCATTAACATTTGCCTGTTGAATGTGGCCTGTCAAATGTTAGCTTTCCATGTCTGCCTTTGCATTGGTTTGGGTTCTTTGTTCTAAGTGAATGATAGCTTATGTGTCTACAATTACTTGGACTTTTGCTTCTGGATTAGTTATTGTGCTAATATTATTTATATAAACTAATAACTTATTAGTAAGTTTTAGTGATTGTTTCATTAATTTTTTGATGTTTCATTTGTATGTTTCAGGGTGGCATATATGTAGCTCTTGTCAGAAAGCTTCATGTTATATGTGTGCTATACTTGTACATATTCCGCGTGCAAGAATTGCACTAAAGATGCTGATTACGTGAATGTAAGAGGAACTAAAGGATTTTGTGGAACATGCGTGAGAACTATAATGTTGATTGAAAACCATGGATTGGAAAATAAGGAAACGGTATGATTAACTATGGCTTATACAATTGATTCCTGTGAACATCTCAGCCTTTTCCAACTAGTTTTGCTTCCTTGTTCGGAAACTTTTGTAATTGGTATGCTTATATTATCGGAGAGCGGATATCTTTTGTCTACCTTAAAGGCCTTCTATCTATACTGTGCAGGTTCAAGTGGATTTTGATGACAAAACTAGCTGGGAGTATCTCTTCAAGGTTTATTGGATTTTGTTGAAAGAGAAATTCTCTTTAAGGTTTGATGAGCTTACCAAAGCTAAAAATCCCTGGGAAGAAAATGCTATCATGGGTCCTAATGGAGAGTCATCAGGTGAACTTAATAACCGTAGTGGTGCCAAACGTGGTAACAGGGAAAAATCTTTTGGAGACCCAGGAGCAAGTTCTTCGAAGAGAAGAATATCGACAAGGCAAGAGAAATTTTTTAGCAAAGTTGAATCTCTAGAAGCAGAAAGAGCAAGTGTTATGAATGGGATGCCTTTTCCTGGAGGCTTAAATTGGGCAACAAAAGAGCTTCTTGAATTTGTGGCACACATGAGAAATGGTGACACATCTGTGATCTCTCGTTTTGATGTTCAGGGACTTTTGCTTGAGTACATAACAAGAAGCAATCTTCGTGATCCTTGCCAGAAATCTTATATCGTCTTCGATTCAATGCTTATAAAATTGTTTGGAAAAGCAAGGGTAGGCCACTTTGAAATGTTTAAGCTTCTTGATTGACACTTTCTCACCAAAGATCATTCGAGGCTCATTGATACCATAACAGTAGGAGGCTCCAAAGCTTATTCTACCCAATTGGCTGTTGATAGGATCAGTAATGTTCAACCCACAATTACCGATGATAAGAGATGTAAAACTAGTAAAAGGGTTGATGGTCAACCCATCACAGTTGATAGGAACAGTGATACTTCACTGAAGAGAGATGATGTCTTGAGCGATATAGGAAGCAGAGAAGCTAGCATACCACCACATTCTACAGTAGCGGAGCTATCTGTAAATAGTATTGAAACAGATAAAATATGGCACTATCAAGACCCACTGGGAAAAATTCAAGGGCCATTTTCTATGGCATTGTTACATAAATGAAGCACGAGTGGTCTTTTCCCTCCTGATCTGAGAATATGGCGAGCAAGTGCAAAGCAGGAGGACTCCATTCTCTTAACTGATGCTTTTAACGGGAAGTGCAGCCAAACAGAACAGTTGTTTCATGACAGTTGCGTACCAATTGAGGGTGTAAGGATTGCCACTGGTGATGGATCTCATAATAGGGATGGTGATGTTAGGGGGAGTAGGGATCTGAATGCAAATCAGATGGAATACAAACAGGTTGAGGCAAGTTCGAAGTCAATGCAGAATGATTCAAGTGGTCATTATTGTGGTAGCAATGAATATGTGGAGAGCAAAGAATCAGGCTCTCAATATGCTCCTTGTAGTGCCTCGGTAGATATTGTCAATTCAAATGCAGAACAGATGGGAAGTCAAGTACTACATCGGGACCCTGTGAAGGGTGATAATTGCTTCCCTGGCCAGCCCCAAGTGAGTAGCTCCCTCCCCTCATCTATCGTATCTCAGAAACCATGTGAAACCGAGTCTCAGCAAGTTAGCATCCGTCATGGGGTTGAAAGATGGGACTGTGGTTCAATTGACATGAATGAAGATTTGAACAAAACCTCGGACGGTCAAATTATTTCTGAAAATGTGAAGCAAGAAGATAATGACGGAAAACCAGGTAAATTGTGTGAGCAAAGCCAGAGATCTTCACCACTAAATGATACTTCAAATGGATGGGATTTGAATTCTGGACTTATTTCTCTGGCAAGGGATTTCGAAGCATCAGAGCACAATCAGGATATTGATTTCTCAAATATTCCTACCTCAACATCAAAGTCGAGCAACGAAGACTCGAAAATTCAGGCTACTAAAACCAAACAGTTTCTTTCTTTGAGTGTTCCTAGTCAGGATTCAGGTCCTAGTTGGAGTACTGTTCTGAGTCTAGTGAGTACTGGAGCACAGCTTCCTGAAGTAGCTGATGAATGGGGTGGGTATTCCTCCGCTTCAGCGAAACCTTCTCCAGAGGAATGGAGGCCGGATCTTGTGCCCGTTTCTTCTTTGAAACCAACTCACTTGGGAGAAAATCATTCTGCTACACCAACTTCAGGAAATAGCCAACTGACACATTCTTCTTCCACAGATCATGCAAATAATGCATCTGGTTGGGAGTGTTCTTTGGCTAATGAATCAGTTTCAGATCTACTAGCTGAAGTTGAAGCGATGGAGTCACTTAACGGCTTGCCTTCAGCTACTTCAATTTTGCGTTCAGAAGGAGAGTTGGCACAAGTTTCTGATCATGATTGTTTCAGCCCCGTAGGAGGATTGAGCCCTGCACCTGATCCAGGAAAAACCAATGCTTTGAGCTCCTGAAATAACCCTCAAACGCCTTCTCAGTCAACTATGACCAATGAGCAGTTTGGGGTATCCAAGTCTGGAGTTATTGATGCTCATAGGAGTTCCGGTGGGCATTCTTCTTCGAGTCTTGTAACAGATGAAATTACAAGGCATATCAATGTCTCGGTTAACCAGTATGAAGCTTGTTCAGACATGCAACCTCCTGCACCACGGGTAACAACTTGGGGCATGGCTGCTGTAGATTCCGCTTGGAGACCAGAGCCAGAAACTACGGCCACCAATCTGGGAGCAGTTCAAGGAAATGCAAATTTTAACTGGGGAGGTTTAACTCAAGGAACTAGGAACGTCGGTCGGGGAACAGCTCAGGGAGGAGCATTCCAGGAAAACAGAAGCATCAATTCAAGCACTTCCGCAGGGCATCCACCCGATTGGGGAAACCAACAGAGATATGTTGGTTCAAGGGACCGGGATTTCGACGGAAGATATTTTGGTAGGGGCAGGTACTCCTGGAATAGACAGTCGTCGAATGGTGGTGTTGGTTCTTTCAGACCACCGCCCAAAGGGCAGCGGGTTTGTAAATTTTATGAAAGCGGTCACTGCAAGAAGGGGGCAACATGTAGTTATTGGCACCCTTGAGTAGTCTTTACCACGGCAATCGTGCGCGATTCATTCTGTATTCATTATTTGTATCAGCTACTTGGTCTGTTTGTCGGTTCTGCCAAATTTAACTATAAGCTTTAACACTAGTATTATTCAAGCTACACGTAATAATACCATATTATTTTTACTCTCGGGACCTTGTACATCACCCTTGTCACAGTAGCTAGTACTTACCCACCATTGCAACAAGTTCATGATGCCCTTGATTTCCCCCGAGCTACCTGAGACTAGACATGCAAGATGCTTAGGATTACAAATCAAAATTTGACTCGAAAATTTTGAACTTTTGACTTCATTCGTAATTTTGTAAAAAATATTTTAAATAAAGGTTGAGTTATAAAATACAATTCAAATAATTTTAATAGTTAGTGGAATAATTTTCAAGTTTGAGTTGAGTTTATTAATTTTGTATAACAAAATTCTAATTATAAATATATATATGTGTATATTATATATGATTATAGAAAACCGTTTAAATTTGAATTAATGAGTATTATAACATTATAAATATTTATAATTAAATTTAAATAAAAATTCAAACAATTTGATACAAATAAAATCCTAATTATAAAATAGGCCTATTAACTCAGTTAACTTTAATTTTTTTAACTCGACTCTATCGAATATTTATCCTATTCAAAGAAACAGGATACTTGGTACATGGAGTTGTTGGTTTATTATTATATTAATATATGCATTTTAGGTTAAAAATATTGCAAGAAACAGAAGTATAGTTGATCTCTTTTTTGGCTGTGCTTTCACGTGCAATTTTTCTATTTGAATTTCGGCCTTTGGAGTGAAACTCTTGGGTTTGAACATTTGAATTTCTTTTTTTCACCTTAACTCACATATTTGCTGTCTATCACCCACATGATTCACAGCTCCATCAAAATATTCCCTCTTTGTCAATGACTTAACATCACTACCAACTCAGCCTGTCCTCCCCATTTTCGACAGCGTTCAATTATTTAAAATAAAATAAAAGTTATGATTAATGAGGTATATTAAGAATGAAATTATAAAATTTTATGGGATATATATTTATAGAATTTTAAAAGATAAAAATACATTTTTAATTAAGAAATAAAAAATATAGAGGAATATTTAAAATTTTCAAGATCGACTGTCTTACCCATCATCCTTCGACGTATCTCCATGTTCTATCTATCAATGGCTGCTGTCACTCTTAGACAAAGGTCTAAAATCTAAACTGTATTTAGAGAGGTCGGAATGTAAATTTATTATTGTATTAAATTATAATTTTATAAATTTTATGATATTATAATATAAATTATATCATTTTTGAGATCGTGGCCGCTACTTACCCTTTGACTTGGTTTTTTTAAAACTCGAACAAAAATAAATCAAATATTAATTCATTTAGGGAAAAAATAAAAATGATAAAATATTATCGACTATGCTCACAAGCATTCATTATGTTTAGAATCTTCAATCATTAATTATAATGACTATCTGATAAACCGTCGCACAAATAATCACAATCTTTCATTCATTGATGTTGACCATCAACCCAAATTAGTCTCAAAGTCGATGCTTAGATTTGTGTTTTACAATCAGCTACGATTGTATAGATGACCAGCCCATACAAAGATGGTAAACGAAAATCATGAGCAATAAAAAAGAATGCATTGTTATACATACATACATACCACATGGTAACTAATCATTCACGATTCAACATGGATTGCTTACTATGATTTGAATAAAGTGTGAATATATTTATTAAAAAAAAATTGATGGTGAAAAATGAAAATTGTTATATTTCTAATAAATAAATAATATATGTGAGATCTATTCGATTTTTCGTTAGTCATTATCAATAATCATCTTATAACTTTAGAAGTAAAAGGATAACTTTTCCTTATTATGGTATAATAAAAAAGGTTTGTTCCCCTTTCTCAAGAAGAGAGATCTAAAATTCATTTTCTCTCTCTTTTTCTCCCCTACATCAGAACATTCATATAGAGAAATATGACACCAACACTAATGGCTCTTCATTCAAATTAGGAGAGTGTGTTAGTAATGCTAAGATTATATATCTCATGTTAAGAAAGAAAATACCTTTGGATGGATTTATAAGGAGTCTTTCCTTCCTCCTTGTGGAGTGATAACTCCCTCCACAAACCACCATCTCTCATGTTGTACGTCAATATTAGTGCTATAACTAGTCGCTTTTAAGGTATCTATTTGATTTTAATGTTATCGATATATTTTTCACATGATGCAAAGTCAATATAATAATTATCTTTAAATCATTTTTGTCTCTAGTTAATTGTATAAAACCATTGTTTTTCCTTCGACATTAAAAGTTATATAAGAGATTATATTATTGCTATCGATGATTCTCCGTCTAAATAAAAAAAAAGTGTGAACTATCGTCGCTCTCTCACATTACACATCAACAAAAAAAAAATGATATTTCACCTAACCCTTTATTACTGAACTTATCTTAAACACAAATGAGTAAAAGAAATTGGAGGTTCCACTTTAAAAAATAAAGGAAACATAAGGTAGTCGCTTCACACAATCGAACCCTAAAAATAACATGAACCTATGAGGAACGAGTGGGCCTTTTTCATGCATGGGTTCAAACGAAATGTTTCTTTTCTTCACAATCTTTATTAATATATGTGTTCTTGAAATCTTGCCTTTTTCCCGATGTATTGAAAATAACAATATATATATAAGAGGGGAAAAAACCGAAATCCCACTTTCGGATTCACCTTTTGTCACATTTCTTATTCGTCTTCTTCATCAATATTCCTCTGTTAAAAGAGTGGACAAATCAAGCGTTTCTTCGGCACAGCATAGAGCCGAGTTGCACGAGGTGCAGTGAGTCCAAACACATCACTCATGTCGAGTTCACTCGGCTTCAACCCATCGGGCAATTCCCACGTGAAACAGTGAAGCAAATGAGCAACAGCCAAATCAAGCGCGTATAACCCGAGTGTCATACCCGGACACGACCTCCTACCCGACCCGAACGGAATGAACTCGAAGTTGCTTCCTTTATAGTCTGCTACACCTTCTTTCAAGAACCTCGATGGCTTGAAACTCTCGGGGTCTTCCCACGAATCCTTATCCCTGCCGATGGCCCACGCGTTGATCATCACGCGCGACTTCGCCGGGATTTGATACCCGGCCACCACGGCGTCCTCCGCTGTTTCGTGGAGAAGCAATGGGATCGGCGGGTGGAGCCTGAGGGTTTCTTTGAGGGTGCACTTCAGGTAGGTTAATTTTTCTATATCGGATTCTTCCACAAGGCGGTCGAGACCAACCACCTCCGCCAACTCCTGCTGGACTCTCTTCATATCCTCCGGACTTTTCATCAGCTCCGCCAAAGCCCACTCTATCGCCGATGCCACCGTCTCCGTCCCGCCGAACATCACATCCTTTAAAAAAATAATTTGTTCACCCATCAGAACTATATGGACGTATATTTTTCATTTGTTTATGATAATTTATGATTTTAAATTAAATAATAAGTTTATTAATTATATTAGAAAGATACCAGATAAAGCTAAACCATAATAGATAACGTTAATACCATGATAATGGCTTTGATGTTATCTCTGGTGAGTTTGATGGAGTTTTGTAGATCGTCTGATTCGTTTACTTTTGCTTCCTCACTGTAAAATGCAAGCAAATCATCAACCATGTCGGAGTCAACTTCGCCGGCGCCATCGTCGACGTTTCTTTTCCTCTTTTGGATGTGCTCGTCGATGATGATGTCGATGAACTTGTCCAATGCATGACGAGCGTTCTTCAGCCTGGTGTTGAGTCCCTGAGGATCGATCCAAGTGAGCCAGGGGATGAAATCGGCAATATTGAAAGCACCGAAAAGCCTGGAGAATTCCTGCAAGATCTTGATGAACTCGTCTTGCCCTTCTTGAGTACTCGAACCGAAAGCCGCTCTGTAAGTGATGTTCTTTGTGAGGTTGAAGATCAAATCACCCATGTTTGTAGACTTTCCCTCGTTGGCTGTCACGGCTTTAACGATGGAATCGACTTCGTCTCTCACGGACTCCCACGATTCCGCTCGTTTTCTACTGAACACCTTCATGACGCAGACCTTCCGCATCTGTCTCCAAAATGGTCCGTAATGAGCAAACGCCATATCGGCTCGGTCGTACGTTAAATAGCTGATGGCTATGGAGGCTGGCCTGTTGGAGAATATGTTATCTTGAACCTGAAGCACTTGGCGAGCCATTTCAGGGTTAGAAATAGTAACCGTATGCAAATACCCCATCTTCATATGAAATATGCCGCCGTATTTCTGAGCAAGCTTGGCCAGTCCACGGTGAGTTAATTGGTCCATCATCATCATGTTGCCGATGATCGGCAACCCTCTCGGCCCCGGAGGAAATGGTTTCCGACGAAGCCGAGAAACGAGGCCGAGGAGGAATAAGAAAGGAACGATGAAAAGAAGGGCCATGGGCAATGGTTCCATGTTTTGTATCATGGAGATTATATTATCCATTGCTTGTAAAACTGCAACTCGTCGAATGTTGCTACCTTTTTGTCACATATTATAGGGTCTTTTATACAGGTTTTTGGATACCCCTGTAGGAATAAAATAATGCACAACTTGCATCACACCATTTATTTTTTCGACATATCACGTCATAGTATTTAAAAAAATACAATATACCTAAACTTGCGTAGTCAATCTATAAAAAATATATATATAAAATTTTAATTTAGAAAATATCTAGTTTTTGTTTTCAAGCTGATTTTCAAATATATTATTAGAATGATAGTAAAGAGTTTCAACATATTAAATTAAAATTATTACTCCAATTACTGTTTCATATAATTAATGACTTTTAGAAATTTCTCAGTAAGACTATTTTTCATAAAATAGTAAACTTCAATTTTATAATTAATAACTATTTTTCATTTCACTTCATATTACTTTTAATAACTTCAATTTTTCAAATTTTAAAACTAATTTTCCTAGAAATAGAGATTCCAATCATTGGTGATTGAATGAATTGGGACGGCTGAACTTCTTTGGTGGAAATAAATATCTATGAAGCCGTTTGCAATACTCATTTGATTTATTATCCAATTGGTAACAGTTGGAGCATACTAAGAAAATGAATATTTAGTTGTCTATTTAATAAAAATCAGTGTCTAAATTGTATTCAAAGTTAATATTTAATGTTTAATTTTTTTTTTTGTTAAAAATAGATAGTATAATGTTTTTTCCTTTACATTTTAAGTGTCAATGTTTCCGACATTATATTTTTAAGTGTTTGAGATGCAACTTCCATTAAAAATATGTTATCTGACACGTTTTAAACTTATAAAATTTATTTTAAAATAAAAAAATTATAATTTATTTTTTAAACTACCCAAATTTCTTTAGAATTAAAAAAAATCCAAAACTTTAAAATCCTTAATTTTAAACTCTTTTGCGGCCGTCATCGGCCATCTTCGATCACCATCTCCGTCGGTAAAAGGTTACCTACCCATCACTTGTTGACTATGCACCGAAAGTGTGCATAATAAATGCAACTTTCGGTGCTGCTTGGAAAAAAAGGGCAGCAGCTATTGCTGAATTTTGTAAATGGTAGAACCTCAATTTTAGCTATTGTAATTTAGGATATTTACAAATTAGTCCTTAAAGCTTCAACTATAAATATCCTAGCTCATTTAGCTTCAAAACCATCCCAAAGCATTCTAGCTTTCTTACAATACTAGAGAATTTAGAGAGTTTCTTGAGAGTTGTTTTCCTTTTTATCGAGAGAGAATTATCATTGTTTTCTCCTTGGTAGATCGAGAGAGGTTGTAATTCATATTTTTTCATAGTGAAATTCTTCTACCGCTGCCCGTGGTTTTTACCCTAAATTTTTAGGGGTTTTCTACGTAAATTTTGTGTCTATTTTATCTTCATTTTTATTTTCTCAAATTATCAGTTGCGATTTTGCTCTATCCGATAGCCGTCTTCCGCAACAATTGGTATCCGAGCCAGATTTGAGTGTGTAATATCTGTTTATTGTCTTTGTGGTTGCCACCAAAAGGTGGATCCTCCAACATAAGAAAATAAGAAGGTATTACCCATTCTTTGAGGTTCTAGAGAACTATTCACGATAGTGAAATAGTGGGAGCTATCAATAATAGAAGCTATGGCAACAAAATTTGATATTGAAAAATTCAATGGGAGAAATTTTTCACTGTGGAGATTGAAGATGAAGGTCATCCTGAGGAAAGACGGGTGTCTAGCGGCTATCAATGAAAGGCCGATGGATTTCGTAGATGACAACAAATGGAACGAGATGGACAGAAATGCTATGGCAAACTTTCATCTAGCATTAACAGATGAAGTATTGCCAATCATCGAGGAGAAGAAGACAGCTAAGGAGATATGGGATCATCTCACCAAATTGTACGAGGCCACATCGTTGCACAATAAAATTTTCCTTAAGAGGAAATTGTACACTCTTCGGATGTCAGAATCTACTTCAGTGACGGAGCACTTAAACACACTGAACACTTTATTTTCTCAACTTACATCTTTAAGTTGTAAAATAGTAGAACAAGAACGTGCTGAACTTCTACTTCAAAGTCTACCAGATTCGTATGATCAACTCATCATCAACTTGACAAACAATAATGTCACCAGTCTAGTCTTCGATGACGTTGCAGCTGCTGTTCTACAAGAAGAAAATCGGCGCAAGAAAAAGGAAGACAAACAAGTAAATCTGCAACAAGCAGAAGCGTTGACAACGACGAGAGGGAGATTAACAGAACGTGGCAAAAGCAGCAGTCACAAATATGGTAGATCAAAGTCGAGGAGCAAGAAGAATTTAAAGTGCTACAACTGTGGAAAAAAGGGTCACTTGAAGAAGGATTATTGGAATCTAAATAAAAACTCCAATCCACAAGGCAATACCGCAAACACTTCAGATGGTGGAGATGCACTATGCTGTGAAGCGTCAACCACCGTGGAAGGAAGAAAAAGATTTGCAGATATATGGCTCATTGATTTAGGAGCAACATATCACATGACCTCAAGAAGAGAATGGTTCCATTAGTATGAACCTGTCTCAGGAGGATCTGTGTATAGTTGCAATGATCATGCCTTAGAGATCATTGGCGTGGGAACCATCAAATTGAAGATGTATGATGGAACAATTAAAGTTGTTCGAGATGTGCGGCACATGAAAGGCCTAAAGAAAAATTTATTATCCTACGGATTGTTGGATAATAATGCAAGCAAGATTGAAACACGGAAAGGAATCATGAAGGTGTTCCATGGAGCGCTTGTGGTGCTGAAAGGCGTAAAGATAGCAGCAAACTTGTACATGCTGAAGGGAGAGACTTTGCTAGAAGCAGAAGCCTCTGTTGCCTCATGTAGTTCAGATTTTGCAATGCTATGGCATCAGAAACTTGGACACATGTCAGAACAAGGAATGAAAGTCCTTGTGGAGCAAAAGCTACTTCTCGGCTTAACAAAGATATCACTTCCTTTGTGTGAGCATTGTATAACAAGTAAGCAGCACCGGTTGAAATTCAACACGTCAAATTCTAGAGGCAAAAATGTTCTAGAATTGGTTCATTCTGACGTATGGCAAACACCAGTTACATCCCTAGGTGGAGCAAAATACTTTGTCTCATTTATTGATAACTACTCTAGGAGATGTTGGGTGTATCCTATTATGAAGAAGTCAGATGTGTTTTCAACTTTCAAAATCTTCAAAGCGCGGGTGGAACTTGATTCTGGAAATAAGATCAAGTGTTTCAGAACAGATAATGGAGGAGAATACACAAGCGAAGAATTTGATGACTTTTGCAGGAAAGAATGCATCAAAAGACAGTTCACAGTGGCAAACACTCCTCAACAAAATGGAGTGGCAGAGCGGATGAACAGAACCTTGTTAGAAAGAAAAAGAGCAATGTTGAGAGATGCAGGCCTAGAAAAATCATTATGGGCAGAAGCAGTCAATACCGCTTGTTATTTGGTGAATCGAGCTCCATCAACTACAATAGAGCTAAAGACACCAATGGAGATGTGGACTGGTAAACCAGCTGATTATTCAAACCTCCATATATTTGGAAGTATTGTGTACGTGATGTACAACTCCCAAGAAATCTCAAAGCTGGATCCAAAATCCAGGAAATGCAAATTCTTGGGGTATGATGATGGAGTCAAGGGGTATCGCTTGTGGGATCCCACTACCCGCAAAGTGATCATCAGCAGTGATTTGTAGAGGATAAACTACAAAGAAAAGAAGACGATGATAGCACTGAAAAGTCAGAGACTACACAGATAAATGTGGAAAAGGAGTTTGATCAAGGAGATTCTTCAGAAGCATAACTAGCACATGATGAACAAGAACCAGAGAGTTCTGAAGCACCAACAACTCGTCAATCAGATTGTGTAAGAAGACGTCCCAATTGGCACTTAGATTATGTTATAAAAGGTAATATTGCATACTGCCTTTTAACAGAGGACGGTGAGCCATCAACATACCATGAGGCAATAAACAACTCAGATGCTTCACTGTGGGTGATGGCGATGCAAGAAGAAATTGAAGCCCTTCATAAAAATAATACATGGGACCTTGTGCCACTACCACAAGGAAGGAAGCCAATTGGTAACAAATGGATCTTCAAAATCAAGCGAAATGGTAACGATCAAGTTGAGAGGTATCGTGCAAGACTGGTGGTCAAAGGATATGCTCAAAAAGAATGTATTGATTTCAATGAAATATTTTCTCCTGTGGTTCGACTAACAACAGTTCGAGTAGTTTTGGCAATGTGTGCTACATTGAACTTACATCTAGAGCAGCTAGATGTTAAAACAACTTTTCTTCATGGAAATCTTGAAGAAGAGATTTATATGCTCTAGCCTGAAGGTTTTGAAGAATAAGAAAATTAGAACTTGGTTTGCAGGTTGAACAAATCTCTGTAAGGTCTAAAGCAGGCACCGAGGTGTTGGTATAAGAAATTTGATTCCTTCATTATGTGCCTCGGATACAACAGACTTAATGCAAACCCTTGTGCTTATTTCAAGAGGTCTGGTGATAACGATTTTGTTATATTGTTGTTGTATGTGGATGACATGTTGGTTACAGGACCCAACAAAGATCATATTGAAGAATTAAAGGCACAACTGGCTAGGGAATTTGAAATGAAGGACTTGGGATCAGCAAACAAGATTCTAGGGATACAAATTCAGCGAGACAGAAGTAATAGGGAGATTTGGCTTTCACAAAAGAATTACTTGAAGAAGATCTTGTCACGATTCAACATGCAAGATTGTAAGCCAATTTCTACCCCTCTTCCTATTAACTTCAAATTATCCTCCAGTATGAGTCCTAGCAGTGAAAAAGAGAGGATGAATATGTCTCGAGTACCGTATGCATCAGCAGTGGGAAGTTTAATGTTCGCTATGATATGCACAAGACCAGACATTGCACAAGCAGTGGGAGTGGTTAGTCGGTACATGGCGAATCCAGGAAAAGAGAATTGGAATACAGTAAAGATGATCCTGAGATACATAAAAGG